ATTTTTATTATTCGTGAGAAATTCAAAACTCTACTCAATCCCGCGCGGGATTTTTAAAAAAACCGCGATTTGCCCATTACTAGTTATTTATTAATTTTATTAATAGATAAAAAAAAACTTGTCACTATCTAAACACAAATTTTAGCTTAGACTGATGCGCGATGATTGCCGAATTAAAAACTCAATGAATATTTTTAGGGACGTAGAAGTATTTTTACTTAGGACATCTTGCATTGATTAATTAGCCAGTTTTTGAGATAATACATATATAGGTGTAAAACACCATAAGTGCGTTTTAGTAAAAGTCAAATTAATTATTGGTTCATCTCAAACTCATGTCCCGAAATAATGCCCATAGGAAAAACATATTTATCGATTTTGGATAGGAAAACTTAGATAAATTATCAAAACGATTATGACAAAGTTATTTCAAACTTTAAGCGAAGATACAGTGTCTCAACAATAAACTGTCTAAAATCAATGAGGTTTTTTTCTTATTTCAATTCTATAAAACTGTATTATTAAAATAAAATCATTTGAGATAGATGGTTGTCGTGACTAGCGTCGCAAACTTATGAATCATAATGATACTGATAATGCTATAATGGTAAACTTGACTTTATTTATAATAACGACAGATTAAAGTCAACAATATTAATGATATATGTACCAAGTAATTTAATATATACAACGTTAAAATTATCTATTGCATCTTATAATAATCTAGCATAAATAATGCAGAAATTAATTTCGATTTTTGCAATATTTCTTGTAATTAAATATGCTAAGTTTTTATAATCCAAAATTGATTTAATTCAGTTTGCAACGCTAGCCGGGATATCTTCGTTCAAACATATAACCCACTTTTGGAGTGCTCCAGAGTGGGTTATATGTTTTACTATTGACTGGAGTGCTCCATTAACAATCCTAACCATAGGACTTAAAAAAAAAAAAAGGGATAAAAATCGTTGTTAAACCGAATTTTTACATAAAAAAAAGAAAAATCAAGTAGATCAAGGTTGACCATTTAAAGAAAATTAACAATTAAGAAAAATTCTTCAAATTCTCTATTTGAAATAGAAAGAGCAGCTTCTTGGACTTTCATTTGATCTTTTAATGCAGTAACTTCAGAACGAAGATTATCGTTTTCTTGAGTAAGAAAAGAAAGCTGAAAACGGAGTTTACTATTTTCTTGAATAGTAAGGGAATTCTGAACTTTCAAGTCGGAGATTTGATATTCGAAAAGTGCGTCTGAAGCGGGTCCGTTTGATGTTCTGTGGGTTCAGAAAGCCCAATACGAAAATTGTGAATGCCAGGTGCGGATAGGTTATTAAAGGAAATGTTACCAGAAGACTTAGAGACCTTTGACGGTCGTTGTGCCATAATTATAATCTGCTAAATTTAGCAAATTAGATTTACTCCGCAGTTGAGCACGGGATATAAACCTAACTGCGATCGAAAATTTGAGCAGGAATTATTCAAAAGTAAAATCACGGGCCTATTAAGAGAAATACTCCTAGGCTAAGTTTATTAAAAGACTTATTTTCCAGAATTTGCTATTTTGGAATGAAAAAAATACAAAATAATTAAAATTAGTGTGGAAGCTAGGTAAATCACAATTATATAATTGAAATTTTCATTGATCATGGGTATACTTACTACAGTATAGTACGAGAGTAAAGTTAAATAAAGAATAAGATACAACTCGAAGTAAGGTTTTTATTTTATATCTTTTCTAAAAATCGAACTTGTTATGTTTAATTATTCTAAAAATCGGACCTTTTGTACTTTTTGTTAATTAAGCGAAATGAAAGGTACTTTTTATATTTTTTACAGACAATACGTGTGACTTTATTTATGGTCTGTCAATCAATTAGTGATCGATGATCCGGTAATTTTTGGAATCAGGCTTTGCAATTAAAAAATTCAATTCTGTAAAGTCAAAAAATGGTGCACTAAAATCGCTAGTTGGAAGCTCAAATACCGAAAAAGAAAAAAGATAAAAATTAGGTAATGTTTAAGTTCTAAATTTATTCAATTAAACTTTTGTGGCATTTAGGAACGATCATGTGGAGATTCTACATGAACATATGTATTTCTGATTGGGCGAAATCAATAATCCAAATGTGATTTTTTAGCGAAGACATTTCGACAACTCCATATCTAAAATCGATATGAATTTAGATATGTGATTGCCGAAATATATTCGGAAAAAATAACCATAAAAGTAGTAGCTGTGGCAAAGTTTTTCCAAATTTTAAGCGAAGATATCTTGGCAATCACCTACTAAAATCGACGAAATATATATTTTTTTACTTCTGGGATTAATAAAAATAAAAAAAAATCATTTTTTTATAAATTTTGGATAGGTGGTTGTCGGATACAGTATTTCGCCCAAAGTTTAAACAATAGATTACAGTACTTTCAAATATTTAAGCAAAAAGATCTCGACAATCACCTATTTAAATCTCGAAATTTTACCTCAAATCACCTTTCGCATACTTACAAACAAGTTCCTTGCAAAATTTTAGTATAATTTCGGTCATTAAACCTAATGTTAACTCTAACTGAAATATCATTTTAAAAACAGTGACATGTAAATACCATAAAGTTCATATACCAGACCCAGGTCTATTTCATTCCACCAATTTTTATTTTTAAACCCATTAGTGGGCCCGGGATTTAGTATCTGTCCAGAGGCTATATTATGAAACGAAAAGAAAAAATTTAAAGTGCATACACACTTTGTATTTATAATAACCATTCTAACTATTTGAAAAAAAACCGTGGTTCTAATTCATGTGTAGGTCTACTATTTTTGGGATCTTGGATAGAACTTATACGGTAATAACAAATAATTCCAATTAATAGAAAATGCAGAGAAATTCGTATGACTGTATGAACTATGAACATCTCGTCTATTCAGGTTTTAATTTATTGATTATTTTGAAAAAAATGGGATTGATTCAATAGAAACCAAGAAAATATTTTTAAACAAGGATAACTTAGCAAAAATTTAATAAAATTTAATAAAATTTCTACAAGAAAAAAAATTTTTAAAAAATTTTTATTAAATTTGGTCAAGGTTTTAAATTATTCTTGTTTAAAGTTATAAAAAATTTTTTTATAAAAAATTTGCTCGATTTTTAATGACTCACCCCAAATAATAAAATCTACGTGTATCTATATTTTTCTATCACATTAATAAAAAAGTTTCTTATTATTTTACAGCATATTTATGATTCTTTTTTTTTTTATCACTCTACGCTTAGCCCAACTCTGCGATAGCACCACAAGAGTTTCCGCTATAAATGGTTTATAATGTATTGGTTGATCCAGGCGGGCGATAAGAACAAATAAGCTGTATAAGAGCATTAAAAGAGCTTTAATTAACTAAAGAACGTTAATTAAAGTGATAAAAAGAGCGCTAAAAAAGCGTTAAATAAAGAGCGTTAATAAATAATTATTTCAAGCATGACATTTTACACGCATATAATAAAGTAGGATTTATGATCGATTTAGAGTTACTTAAATAGTTGGAATCGAACAATTTTAAGAATTGGAATCAAATTAATTTAATAATCAAAATGGCTAGTCGAAACTAATGACATTTTAAAGAATATTTGCATATTAGATACGTACTAATGAATAAAACATGAACTTATGATTCAGTAGTTAAAAGCATCGTAATTTTCGATAATTTCGAATACTCTTACTAAGAAAGGAAATTCCTTTGTGCATCAATCCATGTGCAGTACAATATTAATAACAATTTGTTGTGCTTCAATACTTGGTATATCATTAATATAGAAAAGAGAATCTGATGGAGATTGTTGATTAGCTGGAAAAGGATTATAACCTTGAAATGTACGAAGATCTGTTCAAAAAAAAAAAGAAAATTGATGTTGTCACGGAGTTTCTCAGACCCGTGTATTCGTGGGTCTTTATTATTAATCTTCACTTACTTGGCTGATATACGATGACTGGAGTATCGTACAGGTACTCCTCCGTACGATTCAATACTTTAATAACTGTATGGACGACCACTTGGTGTATATTAAAAGCGTTTTTACTAATGCCAAAGCTAAAAACTTTCTCAATTATTATTCAATGTTCGTTTTAAATATTACAAGATTTAACCCGGATATAGGTTACACACATTAGACTATCTAAATCAGGGTTTCCTTATGTCAAGAAAATCCCGGGCTGAAGATCACTGTAGATCCTTTCGATCTAATTCCGAAGCTAAAACATTAAATTTCTTTAAAGTTCTAGCGACTATTTCTCAGTAACCACTCGATCAAAGTTGGTAAATTTTTTTATTTTGATTCCATATATTTGTAAAATTAAAACAAAAAAAAGTTCATTAAATTTGGTCAAGTGGTTGTCGAG